ATGGTACAGTTGAACTAAAACTTTACCAAAATCAAAATCATTAAAAGTAATTCAAGAAAATCTCCAATTAATAAGTACATATTGAATGGCATACAGTTTAATACCCCATAGTATATAGATAGCATTTCTTCTGGAACCTGTAATGTTTGTTGGATAGGAGCTATTTTTCCTTAGGAATGATTACCAACAGGATAAATAGCTTCAGGCTGTTTATCTTCATTTTTGTTCATCCCGTTTTTATGTTGCTTCTAAAATTTTGTAAACTATCGGGCCAAAAAAACAGGCACTTGTTTCGAACTACACAGCTTTTATTTCCATTTAAAATTAGTATATTAAGATATCTAGAAGGTTTCCATTTGTGGCATTGATTCCATTTTCATCAGAAGGATAAATATAATTTTAGTATTGAAAAAAACATCAATAATGATATAGTTATCAGTAACCTTGAATCTTAGGATAATATATAAAATAATGCTTCAAGAAATGAACTATAATATGTTTTTTAATATAAAGAAAAATTTTACAAAATAATAAAACAGAGATATCCATGTTTGAAATGCAGTTTTCTTTAGAAACTTAATGTGTATATGCCATATGTTCTTTTAATCCTATCTAATGCTTTAAATAAAATATTAAAATATTCTACAAAATAAAACAATATTTTTAAAGATGTTTCAGAAATGATAGCATAATAATTGCTACATCACAAGGTTTATTGCATTACAGTTTTGTTTCAACCACTGTGTGATAACTTTTATGAAAGATTGTGAATAATAGATCCCCTCATTGTGTGTATAGCATGCTACTGGTGATTCAAATATTTCTTGATCAATATGGAATCATTGGATGATTTTCTGATTATCAAGTTGAGTTAGTATCTGTTTTTATGAGAGTTTTAAGAAGTAACTTAAAGAAAAGTTTATAAAAGTACTAAGAATGTGAATAACCTGGAGGATAGTATTTTTCATTATTTCCACATTTTATTTGTGATGCTAGTAGCATCAATTGTATGATTGTTTCTCTCTGTTCTTATCAACTGCTGCCCCCCAGTGGCACAACAGTATATCTGTGGACTTACATTGCTAGAAACTGGGTTTCGATACCCGTGGTGGGCAGAGCACAGATAGCCCATTGTGTAGCTTTGTGCTTACTTACAAACAAAATCTTATCAACTTGCAACATTTACAAACATAAAATATACTTTATCATTTAATTTATTGATTCAGCTTCCTTTGTTTGTATAACATGAGTAGAAGAATAAAGGAAAATGAAAATATTACACCTCAAGAAAACCAATAGATATCATTTGAATGTGTGATTGATGAAGAGTGGCATATAAATAAATCATTATATGGACTGTGTGAGAAAACACTTCCCTTAGTATTTAAATACTTGTTTATTTTATAATATTATATCTAGATTGTTTTATTTTTAAAAAATTTTAATTTTTCTTGTACCAATATCTTGAACAGTAATCAAAAATGTTTTTTGTTTTAAATACATTAATAATATTGATTATTTAAGTTTAGTGTTTCTTCAGGGTGAAGAACTAGGTCCTCTTGAAATAAAAGCCAACAGTCTTCTTCATGAGATCCAGTCAAAAGAACATGAATGTCAAAAATTTGAACAACTTTGGCTTCAGCAACAGAAGGAACTTGTGACCATTAAAAAAGAAGTTGTAGATCAGATGAAACAAATTGATAAACATCATAAACAGTTTATTGTTCTGAATCAGAGGAAAATAAATATTGAAAGTAGGTTAATTATTTGTGAAAATTATAAAAATAGTTATTGTATCTTTGTTACAAAAGAAAGGTTATACTCAGTGTATAACTAGCTTGTATTTTAAACGTTAGAGTTGATGTTTCAGCAGTCTTTTTTCATAAACAATACAAATAACTTACCATAATCATTTTACGCCCGGCATGATCCGGTGGATAAGTCACTTGACTCGCAATCCGGGGGTCGCGGGATCGCGTCCTTGTCGTACCAAACATGCCCACTTGGGCGTGGGGCTAGCAACTCCACACCGATAACAATTTGCTACAGAAACTGCAACAGAAACACTTTCGTCGGTGAAGTGTTGTTGTAGCCCTATGTTCCACTAGGAACGACAGGAACTAAGAAGAAGAAGAAGAATCATTTTACAATTTTAATAGGAAAAAAATATTAAGGAAGTTGCAAAAATGTCAGTTTTTGGTATAAATATTTTGTATGTTTATATTGTTTTACAGAAATATCAGAAAAATGTATCAAGTACCAATGAAGATAATATTAAATATAACATGTCATGTTTATTGTATTACAGGAAGCTCATTCTGTAACATGTGTAATGAAATATTGATAACTCCTGTGTAAGTCACAGAAAATGATGTCAACATGTACATAGTAAAATTTCATATGTTCTCTCTACTATAGGTGAAATTGTTCAACAACAGAATGAGCTACAGAGTTCTCAGCAAAAACTTCACAATCTACAAAATGATATTGTCAGACTAAATTCCCTTCTACACAAAAAGAAAGGGCAGACAGAAACCCTGGAACAAGAAGTATTGCTTCAGGAAGAGGAACTAGTTGGTAATTTAAAGGTTAGAGTAGATGGTTCAGAAGTTATTTTTGTGAATAGTACGAAGAACATACCATAGTCATTTTATGGTTTTGATTAAGTAAAAGATATTAAGGAAGTTGCAAAAATTTTGATTGACTTCAATGCTCAAGGATGAGAATTTGCCAGCCAACTGCAAAATGTCTTTTGAAGCCTAAGGTATTCAAACACTTCATAAATGCACAAACTTCTTAAAGTGCAATAATAGATGATTAAAAAAGATCAGCATAGAAATAGGCTTTAACTCTTTTTGCCATTGGCCTTAATGGCACGCTCTTTTTGCTCAAATGTTTAGAATTACATAAAATAGATATTTTTCTTTTATCAGACATTATTTTTGTGTGTAAAATCACTTAGCTAGAGCCTAAATTGGACAGAGATATGATCAAATGAAACTATGAAACTGGGGGGATGGAGAAGATATACAAAAAATGTTTGAAATTGTTTTGTTACAGTTGAAACATATTAAATATCATAAGTTCTTGTAAGTTACGTTATACTTGAGAGGGCAAAACTATTGGTCCGGGGGAATTTCAAGCTTACAAGAAATCAGTCAACATCTATATAATTTTACCTTTTTTTTTTAGGAAAAACACCAAAATATCCATCATTTCTGCTGTTTAAAATACTTTGTTTATAAATGATTGGTTAGCTATTTTCTTTAGTGGAAACTGACTTGTGCAAGTATTGCCCCAGCATTTCATGAAATGACCAGTTTATAATTAAGTGGTCTAATCATTGTAATAATAAAAATTTGTATGTAGTGTCTGTCTAAATATTTCATAAAATAACAAATTTAGTTTATATTGTTACGTCTCTGTTCGTTCATTAATTAATTTTCCATAACTTCATTCCGACGAAACTTTAGCGACACAAGTCCTTTCTTAAATAAAATTGGTTTATTCTTTCTGAATGCAATTTTACCAATACACTTAATTTCAACAGTCGCTCTATAACAAACGCTAGAACGTCTCACGTGCTCGTGCTCGACAATACTCAATTACACACTCTCTGACTGCAGTTCAATTACTCATTCACTTCTTCCGTCACGTTGTGAGCATCTTATATATATACCAGACTACCCCCAATCTAGTAATCTCCCGACAATTCACGAAGGTTCGAGAAAGAAGTGGCGTGATACTAGTCACGTGACCTCGCTGACGCAACAATATGTTAACTTGTTTGTAATTTTGACTATTGGGATACAAGGTAAAGTGACAAAAGTCAAGTGTTTACTGATAATTCTACTGGATATTTAGTTGCTCAGAAAAACCTAGAATACACCAGAGTACATGTTGACCCATCTGTATCCTGGCAGCCCCCATTGGTAGGAACTCAGAACAAGCCAAAAGTTTCATTTGCTATTTTAATCCCAGAATGCTAAGTTTATTAGTCTATTATGAGACTTTTCTGATCAACTTAATAGCACTGATTTACCTGTTTTGTCACCTACAATTTGTTTTGTCCAATTAATATCTGTATTAATGCTTATATTAGTTGAGTCTAGTTTTTTTGGTTTTTAGGATTTTATTTATTAATCCCTTTGGTTTACATATTCAAATAATATAGACTGCAAGTGTTTAGACATCACTTAAAAACCTACTGTAATACAGACTTTTTTGAGGGAGATTATGACATGATTATGTGTGTATATACTTGATTAAAATTTCTATCAATTAGATTTTAAAATTAATAAATAAATTTTCTTCTCTGTGACTAGGAGAAAAATAATAATGTTAGACATGGTGTAGTCCTAAGAAACATATTAAGAGAGTATAAACTTAAGCATACTTCAAGTTGAACTATTTATTAAAGCTTGTTTTAGCACAGTAGCTCTTTAAACAATTTGTTCTACTATCAGTAATTAGGAAAATTATTTAAATTAAAATTTTTGTGACTAGTTTAAACAGTAACCTTTTATAACTTCATTTATCTGTTTTGTAAGCCTATGTGAGTTAACCTATTTTGACTGCATTTATTATGTTACATAAGCTTATATGAGTTAACGTAATAAAATAAACAACAGTATTGCTATGGACTTTGCTTTAATAAATATTTTTCGTAATAATTCAAAGTATCATGATTCACTAGTTTTAATACACATTAGGTATGTCTGCTAGAAACAACATTTCTGCTATAGTTCATAAACTCTGATTGCAAATGGTCCTAGTAATGTTTACGAAATAGAATTAGTTGATAGTCCAAATGAAAATTTTTAAATTAAGCTGGCTAGTCATTTTCCATGCCCCTCAGTGTGGGTTCCTGTATGTAATGAGGGAAACTCTCAAGGAAGGTTCTGCTTTTACAGTTTACTTTTATAGGGATCCATACATCCACTCACATACTTACCATGCATGATGACCCATGGAGGGGAGGATCCTGATGGTTGAGATAAAGTTCTTAGGACTTCTTTGTGACAGTAAGCTGACTTTATTCCACATCTAAAGTAGCTTAAAGTCAAATGTACAAGAGCACTTGACATCCTTCACACCCTCTTTTCCACCTCTTGGGAAACAAATAGGTGTTCTGTGCTGAAGATCAACTGTGCCAGCATTTGGAATATGAATTTCTGGTCTACTCCTCAGCCACAACCTCCCCATTGCAAATGTTGGACCCTTCACATCATCATGGCTTCAGCTCTACATAGTGGCTTCCCACACTTTTGCAGTGCAGAGTTTGTACACAATCCTATGAACTTACATTTCATCTCAGATAATTATAACTGCAAAGCTCTGATCACTGCCAGAGCATCCCACCTGGTAATGTGTTTTCATACCTCATTAGGCTCTGCTTTTTAGAAATAGGTAATCTGCTATTACTCCTTTTGCCTTTTGTATCCAAGCTAAGTTGACTAATATGAATCTGACATTGGATGATGCAGCTGATTATGATGATTAGCTCATCTCAATGTATGACTTGTTACCATCCCCCTGAAACATCTGAAAAAGTCAGATACTCCTTTCTGGAAGTACCAACCATTAAAGAATACCTTTCAAACCATTCTTCTGTTTCAATTTTTACAGATGGCTCAAAACAGATGACTCTTTGGTGCACAGTTTTCTTGAATGTTCAGAAAAGACTGGCTCCTTTCGTAATATCATCTGTCTCTTCCAGTTTTTCTGGTTTACTGGTCATATTGGAATCCTAGGGAACCATCGCACAGACACCACGCCCTCCACTGACGATATAATATATTTGCCTATTTCATATTTAGAATTAATGCCTGTCATCTAGCCAGTTGGAAGAAAATTTGGGGTGAGCAACATTTGCATAAGCTTTTCCAGATAAAACATACTATCATATGATTGGTTATCTCATTTGCACAGCAATCAGAGGGAGGAAGTTTTCCTTACAAAAAATCTGCATTAGCCATAGTTGTATTATTCATTGTTTTCTCTTAAAAAAGGAATGACCTGCCATGTGTGAGTAGTGTGATACTGAAATCACAATTGTCCACATACTACTTTTTTCATTGCTATAGCCACTAATGGTGGCACCATTTTAGACATATTTTAATTCATGGTATCACACTAACATTGGATAGTGTCATTGGTAATGATGGTACTGTTCAGGTTCATTGTATTTTTAAGTTTTTATAGGCCATGGACATTTTAATTGTATTTAAAAATTTATCCTTATGTCAAAAATATTTACTGTTTTGCCTTTTTATCTTCTACACCTTTCTTTTACTTTTAACTTATTTTTCGAAAACTTAAAAAAAAAGATCATCTAATGTAACCAATTGTTTGGTGCAAGTAGCTATATGGCTTTGTGCCTAAATACTCCAAGCTAACAATATGTAACAATAATTTTAACTGTATTGATATGTAACAATAACTTTAACTGTATTAATTATATCTGAAATAGATTTGAAGTGTATTCCTATTTTGAGTTTCTTTACTTTATAAAGAGCAGTAAATTAAGTAGATTAAAGCTACCAAGTATTTTTATTTGAGCTGGAAATTAAAAATCATTTGTTGATTTTACTGTTGATATTTCACATGTTCTTTTGATGTAATTTATTAATATTTTAAAACTAGTAGCAACCAGTTTTTGCATTCTCCTCCAAAAAAAAATGCTAGTTAATTAGTTTATTTAGTTTATAACTAGAGTTTATTTTCATTACACCATATATGAAGCTAATTAATTCTTATTAAATTTATGCCCTGTAATGTAAAAATTATTGTGCTTATTTGCTGTTGTGGTTTCAACAACCTGTTTTATATACTATGTTTAAATATTTTAAAGAACATTTGCAACCAGTTTTGCTTGAAACCAGACATGCTGGTCAATCAGTTTAATTCACTAGTGGCAAGTTGTGATTTAATGTAAATAGCTAGAAGCTGTGTTCTAAATCCACAATATGTAGTCCATAATTAATGGACTTTAAATGCTTTAAATGCTATGGAGATGACTTGAACATCATATGTGTAGCCTTCATCTTCCCTTTAACATATTAAACACAGGCCTAACATTTTTTTGTTTATGTTTTAAAGGATGCAGAACTGGAATGTGTACAGCTGGAAGAAAAACTAGAGAAAATGAAGAGAGAACATGATAGTTTAAAAAGCTTGTTGACTGATACTGAGTAAGTATTATCCTTAATTTTGAGCTTTTTTTAACAGGCCCCTCACAAGAAAATGGAGGACATTTTTGTTGAAAAGAAAAATTACCCAATCTGGCTTTTCTCAACTTGAACTGAAATTTTTATTGGCTAAAAAGAAGGCATTTACAGCACTCTTTTAGCACTGTGGCTGAAAAAGTGATTTGAAGTAGTAAGATGATTTAAAACCATATCACAAGCTTAATGGCCAACCACAAAAAGCATGGAAGTCTCCAAATGACATGCAGAGGTATTCAGGAACCATTTAGAACCACCTTGGTAGATATTGTGCAGCAAGCCAAGTACAATATTATGCCTGTAGCTGCTTTCAAAGTGTTCCTGTCTGCTTATCCTACTGCTGACTATCGTGATGCTTCGACCTTCCCTACTGAATTGCTGGTAAAATCGTTTGTATCTCAATTGAAAGCTAAACATAAAAAGGTGATAGCAGAAGCATAAATGGTTGGCAATTGCTTAATTAATGATGCTGAGAATGTGGCTTTATTGATGTATACTTAATTTACTCCCAGCGGGTAGACTTTAGTAGTAGCTAGTATGGAGACTTGAGGATGCTGTATTTCACTTATAAATTTATCAATTAAAAAATGAGAACTTGTCTCAAAAAATAGGTCCAAAACCACCCTCTTTGAGAGTTTCTGGATTGAACTTGATTTTAACATTCAACAAATTGTAGTGTAAAGACACCCCTTGGCTTCTAATCCATACTTATTGTTTCTATGAAAGAGATTCACATTGTGCTTTTGAAGAAGTGGTGTGTATTTGTAGCTGCTAGTTATTCACTGTATTATTATTTCTGGAAATTTGTATTAAAATCAGGTAGACTTACCACTGAAATATTAAAAGCATTTTGTTGTTGAGTTCCTTTTATGCTGTCAACAACCATGTTACTTCAAATTCTAAATGTCCTTCATGCAATGCAAGGTATACACAAACTTACCAAGAAATCTCTACTTTTCCATGTGACTTATTCCACATTCATCAAGAGAATGTACATAAGCCATGCTTTCCTCACTTTCTTGTTGAAATTCATGCTGTTACCTTTCCTCACTATGATTTCTGGAGTGAATCTCAACTACTGCTACTAATATTTCTACCAGTATCTGAAGTTTTACTCATGTAGTCTGCCTCTAGCTTCAGCAAGTTCATATATCTTTATTATTGGCCCTTTTTATGATAAACAAATTTAGGCTGTTATACATACTTCTAATTTTGTGCGCTGGTGGGTTTCACCTTCATGTGGGAACTCAATTGTGAAACAGCCACCTTTCTATTATGGTGATGATGATGCTAAAAAATTTTTTTTTGTTTAGGCCTGTTCACCATTACTGGTGAAGAGTAGAAATTTTCGTCTAAACCTAATTTTGAAGAAGCTTCTCTTGGGCTTACTTTTTTCTCAGGTATATTCGATTTTATATCTTGACCTAATTTAATTTTTCTTATATATGCAAGTGCTAATGCCTTGTTGGATGATTCAGTCTTGAATCTTTATATTTTCCACCTTCTCTTGATTTTTGGATCATTGATAATGCTTTTAAGAATCAACTAGCTAAATATTAATAGTCTTTTAATGAGATTATCTTTCTTTTTGACCCATCATCAGTTTCCTGCCCTGCAAGCTGTGAATTTATCTCTTTTTGAGACTTTCTATTCTAGCTACTTTTGTTTTCATGATTCTTTTAGTCAGGATAAAAGTTTTACCTTGCAGTCTTCCTTTGCTGCAGTTCTCACAGATGTACTTTCTATTACCATGTGGCTGTTATGTTCCTTTTGATACCTTAAACCATTGTACTTTGTTGCAATGTACGTATCTTCTGTACCTCAAATTTTTAACTGAGCTTCAAAGATATTCCCTGTATCACTTGTTTACTGGACTTTCACCCATACTAGTCTCTTGTCCAGAAGAAGAGCGCCACCAGGAGATAATTAGGGTTTTAGCATTTCAACTTACTTTTAGTAGTCATTCTTATTGAAATGCCAGCAAGTAACATTTCTATTTCCAGCTTTGCATCCCTCATTTACTGAAAACTAGATGTCAGCTACTTGTACTTGTTTCTTTGGATCTTACCTGAATGGCCAGGTGTGGACATAAGCAAATCACTCATCTGAATATTTTTGAAGTTGTCTCTGTAAGTTTTACAGACCCTTCAGTTTGGTTTTAATGTCTTTTCCTTCTTCTTATCCATTTGCTTACATACTGTGGACCAAGAAGTATCAAATATCTTTCAGAAAGGGAAAATCAAAATCGTTTATCACATTTATCCAGGGTTTCACTGTTGTCTCTTTATGAATGCAAAAAAATCAGAAGATTTGAGACTTCTCTTGACTTATCCGTTCCTGGAGATAACTCATTTTCAAATAGAAAAAGTTATGTTGTTATGGTCTTCTTTGGATGATGATGATGAATATAAAGGATGACTTTTTTCATACCCCAGTTCTTAATTTGCCATTGGAGGAAAGTTTATCAGTTCACTGCTCTTTCAGTGAGCTCAATGTATTTTCTGTTGAGTAGTCTAGTTTTACTTATCTACTCCATTCACTCCATTTTACCACACAGTTGGCTACATCTCTTGGAAAAATCATCTGTAACTCCAATTCCTGTATAGCATTAACACAGTATTTGACAAATCTGGGTTTTAGATCACCACAGTTCAAGGAACACTTTGGAGTTTTGTTCACTTACCATCAAAGACATTCCTTCTGCTTTGGAGATGATAGTTTCACTTTGTGTTATCATTCCTTTGTGGTATGCTCACAGGTGTCATCTTCAATAGACTATGCTTTTCAGTGGTGTCTGATTTCAGATCTGTTGTCATGCCTATTTATTCCATCATTCTTGTGCTTTTCCAGTTTTTGGTTGAACTGAGAGCTTACTTCAACAAGATCTCCTTTTCTTCTTCATTCTTAAACTTTTAATATATTTTCATATATGCCTTCCTCTTGGTTGAAGTACTATATTGGGGAATCAGCATCATTCTGAGTCGTACTCAGAACAATGTGTTAGAACTGTGAGCTGTTTATCATGTTTGTCTCGAATTCTCCTCCTTCTACACCATAATTCTATGTTAGATCACTAAGACAGTTGTACAGTGGTACAAAATACTTGCTGCAGTTTCTCTGCTTCTTTGGTTTCATTCATAATATGTACTCCTTAAAGCTTGTCATTTTCCTGGTGTGATAATAATAATTTTGGTAGGCTCTCTTTTTTTAGGTTCATCAGCTTTTCCCTGTAGAGTGGACCCGCATCCTTAGGTTTTCCAGTGGATTTGCGTATGTGTGGGTTGTCTGATGATTGATGCCTTTACAACATTGGACAACCATCTTTTTCCTCTTTATTGATGTTCTATTTCAGATCCAAATTCTATGGCTGTGGATACTGTAAGTCAATCTTAGGTAAACCTTCATTTTTGTTTACCTTCCTCTCCATTTTCTTCCTCTATTGCTCACCAAGATCAATTATTTTCATTACTTTGGCCAGCTCAGCTTTGATTTCCCTTCTTATGTCAACTTTCTGAATGGGAACTGGTTCCATTACCACCTTGGAAACATCTTCTTTTACAACCTCAAACATCTATTTTTGGCACTGATGTTTGACATCTTCAGCTTCATGGCTGGCTGTTGTTAAGTCCTTTGTCTGAAAAGACAAATTCTTGGCTAGAGTGGCTTGATTATTAGCCAATGTTTATCAACCCTTTTTCCCTGAAGGAATATAAATAATGTTGGGCTGCCTTCTAATGTCTGTACATTTTGTTGTCCATCTCCAACTCCTCAACAAATTAATTCTGCTTTCATGTTTTTGTTTCATGATTGTGGATTATCAACTCATTCCATAATTGGTCTCTGAGTTGCCTTATTTTCCACTTTCAGATGCTATGAAATCCATCAATCTCTTTTGTATCAGTTATTCAAAGACCTCATTTAAGCTTTTCTTCTTCAACTACCACAAGTTCCTAGACTGTCTTAAATGGACTTGGAATTAGTAGTGTTATGTTTCTTGGCTTCTTCGTCTTTTGAACCCTTGATAACTTCTTTACTTTATTATTTATCATTAGACAGAAGGCATTCTGATATCTATGCCAATGATGCTACACATACCTTATTTTTTTTAAAACTCATATACTTGTGCCCAGTTTGCATCTTCCTGTCTATATAAGAATTATGCTCTTTGGATTGTACTGTGGCTATAATGACAAATGAACTTGTACAATTGATCTGTCTTGTTTACCATGATGTTCCCAAACACCTCGAAAGTGAACTTTGAGTTACATCTCATCAAATTTGCCAATTAGTGAGATCTTTGGCATTCTAATCATAGTACCCTTCAAAGGATATCTTGTAGGCCAGCAAGTGGATGAATCTGAGTATGTTCTTGAAATTTTACTTACATCATATTACTGTCTTTTCAGCTTTTGGATTCTATTTACATCCAGTTGTGATTCTTCAAGCTAGAATTAATTCCTAGCAGGCAAGTTCTTTTCTATAACATGCTTAAACACTAATTGGATCCACACTTATATTATCAATGACAACCCAGATATTTCTCAATTCATAATTCCCAGGGTATCTGAATTTGAGCAATTATTTGATTATGAAACAACTACAACAAAATTGTGGTCTCCTTAGAATGTGAGACTACGTGTATAGATTTCTCCAGTCAAGACTCTTGCATGTCACATATGTATATCTGTGTTTTAACTGGACAAGTTCCACTCTCTAACTGGAGCTTCCTGAAAGAGTGATGACATATCACAGCTGATGATACCTCAGTGGGTACCTTTCTGACCTCCACCTGCACATCCTTGCATGTCATTTGAGACACCAATTTTTCCATACGATGTCCCATAATTCACTCAGGATTTATTTTTCTGGTCAACTGACTGGATTCATAGAAAAAACTAGTGGAGCAGATCAGCCTCAAGGAGACTGGACCAAAGTGAGGACATTCAGAAATGTATTCTTCTCAGCAGGGTACCTCCTCACTCTAGACACCCATTAATAGAATATGTTTATATAAATTAGGGTTAGGTGGCAATACTAACACCTGCTGAGCTTGCCCATTTTCAGATGTGGTCACACATGATGGCATAACAGGTAAAGCAGGGTCAGTGTGCAAAGCTTGTCCTGTACCTGTATTGGAAGATTCTTATATGGGGGTGACCAGTAATAACTAAAGACTGGATATGCTCATGAGACTAAGGCCCACTATATCCTACTCTGAAAAGATTGGTCAAGTCATGAAGCTAGCCAAGCTAGTTGGCACACAGGGAGGATTAAAAAAGACCTAGGCAAAACCAAGGATAAGCTCAGCAAATCTAGGAGCAATGGAAATACCAATTAAGGTTATTTACTGTGGTTCTGGATTCTACTTAAACTCTACTTGTTCACTTAATTCATTTGTTTTGGTCTTGTATGTTACCTACCTAAGAACCTTACTTTTGTTGAAGAACACATGTTCATTATAACACTCTTTAGTTCCCTCCTTTATTTCAGCACGAGCTTTCTGGCTTTTAGTGTTTCAAATATAAATCTATATAATATAAATTTTACATTTTTAGAATTGAAATTAATTTCAAACAGGTACTTACTTCTGATATACATTCCTAGCACCTCTCACAACTACAAACAAAGAAATCTGGCTTATGGCAGCAAAAGCAAGGCTTATGCAGAATAAGTCAAATGGAGAGTGGGGAAATTCTTGGTAAATTCATGTATACTTTGCATCACATCAAGGGAATTCAGAATCTGAATTCATATGGTTGTTCTTGGTCAGGTGGTTAAGGCACTTGACTTGCAATCTGAGGGTCGCAGGTTCAAATTCCCATCCCACCAAACATGCAGGCACTTTCAGCCATGAGGGCATTATAATCTGATGGTCAATCCCACTATTTGTTGGTAAAAGAGTAGCCCAACAGTTGGCAGTGGGTAGTGATGACTAGCTGCCTTCCCTCTCATCTTTCACTGTTAAATTAGAGATGACTAGCACAGATAGCCCTCGTGTAGCTTTGCACAAATTTCCAAACAAACCACACCATATGGTTGTTGACAGCATGAAAACCATTCAACAAGAAAAGGCTTTTAGCATTTCAGAGGTAAATACCTGTTTGAAATTAATTTTAATCCTAAAAATGTAAAATTTAAGAGTTTATATAGATATAGTAGTAATATTTTGTAACATTTCCATTAAAACTCAGGAAAGTAAGTTGTGGATATTAGTAAACCCATACTGATAAATTTTTAATACTTTTTTATGTAACATGGAATTTATAAAACATTTAAATATGTAAAATGAATAATTTTTGCAAATACGTGATAAAAATGAATTATCCACAGTTTAAAAATGTTTGTTGTTAAGACAGAACAGAATCTTCATGCTGGTCATACATACATGCATACAGATATATTAACTCAGTAGTTCTCGGCCTGTTGTTGGCTCAAAGTATGTTCACAACCCTTTAACACATTCTTATGACCCAAATTTATATTGCATTCCATGGGTTGAGATATGCTGTTTTAAATTATATGGTGTTTGATGCCATTACATTTTAAAGTTATATGCTGACATGTAGACATGACATTATTAATTGTTTTTAGTGTCTAACAATTAGCATATTTATTATTTGAAGCCAAAAAAAAAACTTTAAGTTTTTACTTGTACCAGACTTTGCACATAAACATGAGTCTTTGTCTACTGTTGATATCTGTTCTTGGTGGATCCATTGTTCTTTGATCTAAGAATCAAAATGTTTTGATAATAGCTAGTATTAGAGAAAATATTTATGTGGTTTGAAGAAGTATTTTTATTTCTCACTGTTTTGTGATATACTGTAAAATATTGAATTCATTAACCATTGCCTTTCAGACAAGAAGTCATGTTGTGGGAGAAGAAGATGCAAATGTCTGAAGAAACAAAGCAAACCCTCTCATCAGATGTGCACTTAGGAGAGATTCAAGAAAGGAAGAATGAAATTCATCAACTTCAAGTGAGAATTTTTGTTGTTTTTACCACAATGATACACACAAAGAATTATCTGCACTTTGTCCACTGTTCATTTTGCACGAGCTGCCTTTAGTTACGTTTTTTCATTAAATTATGTCGCTAGATCTCATCACACACATGGTAAAGTACTTCACTTGGATGTCTAATTTCAAAACTATTTTTAAAAGTGTTAACTACTACTACTACTACTTTTATTTTGTTTTGGAGCTTCTAATAGATTCATCTTAATTTGTGTTAAAATAACTTTATTAAATGAAAGTTATGAAGTTAAAAGTTGCTAATTTAAATGTGACTTACAGAAGTATGAGGAACAAATTCATAACTTGTTACTTTCTAAACCTAATAAGTATTTTTCTTCATAATTTTGTAGAAAATACTGCTAAAACCACAGTTTTTTGATTAGATATATCATGGGCAGTTAAAAAGAGAACAAGACAAGCTGTTGGCCAACTTGGACCGGTCTGTTTCAAAATGGGACATTATTGCCACTAAAATAGACATCCAGGCAAAATGTGGCAAGAAGCAAAATTCAAAGATAGTTATACAAAGAAAATTAGAAGATGTGTTACAGAAGATCAAAACAACTAAAAAGGTGGATCGTGTTTATTACATGTACTGTACATTTTATAAGCATGTTTTTTATATATATACAGCCGCCTATCATTATATATTTGCCTCTTCTTTATGATTCTTTTGTACTTAAATTTTTGTGATCAACATACACAGACATTTTTATTCTAATGAGGACAAAAAAAAAGATTAAAATTACAATATAGATAAATTGGAAAACATAAAAGTTTTTATTGGTATTTCACTACTGTATATAAACAAATTACGATGTATGAATTGCATCACCAGTTAGTTCCTTTCAATTTTTCATGGTATCAAAGGCAATAACGCAACTGTAAGCCTATTTATTTAAGTGATATGGAAAGTTTCTTCAAGAAGGTCTAACTACCATTTTTTGCTCCAGTTTATCAAACCTTTTCACATTATTTTCATCTGTCTAAAGTTTGCTTAAATAATCTTAAACTAAGTAGCCTGTTGAAATAGACATTTTAAGGTTAGGTGTTATGTTCCTCTTTATTCCACTTTTTTCTCATTGGCAGGGTCTAATGAAAACTTATTAAGAGTAATTGTTTAATAATGCAGTAATTATCTTTTCTGTTATTAATACATGTTTCTTTATTAATCCTTTATAGATATCCTTACCTTAATTTATTCTTATGATAAGTTATTTCTAACATTTTAAACTTTAATTACACCCAGTGTTGTTTTGTTTTGCTTTTTGTACTGTATTTTTTGTAAATAACGGTTTGTAATTTAATCGTATATGTGGGATGATTTAAGTTTTCGTATACTAAGTACTTATTATTAAATAATGTGATAAATTGTATTTAAACTTGCTTCAGAATCAAGTAACATTAGAGAAAGAGCATCAAGGACTTAAGGAGCTATATTCCAGTCTAAGAAGACAGTTATCCATAGAAGAAGAAGGTCTTCAAAAATATGATGATGAGCTTGTGAGGAGAAACCAACGTTTAAATGAATACATTGAAGAAAAGTATAAAGTAAGTTGACAGAGACAGTGTGATTTCCCAGTGATATTGTGTATCTCTATGTAAAGTGGAAAGTTTAAAATTTGTGATTTGTTATTACCTTGTTACAAACTTAAAGATTCTGAAATATTTTTATCATAATGGATACATTTTACCGAATTAGAAAGTAATACAAAACTAGATGACAACAGTCACTAATAGTAGGTACTCATGTCAATTATTTATACTTCATTTAAACCATTCTTAGTGCCATTAGATTGCATGATAGGTTTAAAAGATAGATTTTTTTTTAATGTACATTACATTTCAAATCACACACAATTTTAGATATAATCCAAATACCTCATTTTATGTATAACAATCAAATATACAGTGTATGCCAAGTTATCCATCCAAATAATAAAATGTCATAAAACAAAACGTGTGAACATAAAGGTATTGAAACTTTTAGTAGTCCTAACTAATAACACAGGCCTGTGAATTTAAATTTCAAAAAGTTTTTTTTGGTTTGAATAATTGATTTTCCATAATTCAGCTACTCAGATTTCAAAAATAATATTCAT